TATATATGCAAGGATATATGAACACAAGGGTAAACAATGTAAACAAGATAGTGGATGATATAGATAATGAGCTAATGACAATGGCGATATAAGATATGAACATAAATATGAATGAACGCCAAAGCACACTCAAACAAGCAATATGATCACGGAGTTCGGACCTTCCGTCCTACGTCTCCGCTCCCCACTCCCGGGGAGAAATCCACTAACACAATCCGGTTTGGAAGCCGGAACTTCTTCTACACACTCGGTTTTCTAGCTAACCGAAAACTCTACAACTCACACTCTTGCAATCACACTCTACACCCACTAAGTGTTGGACCTAGCCGTGTCTCCCTCAAGTGCTCGGTTACAACCTCTCCCTAGGCACGTCAACCGACGCCACTCCTCTTGGGACGATCCCCGACTCTCACCACACACTCCTCACTCGGTGTACAAGTGTATTACAAAGTGATTTCACAATTAAGCACAATATAGCAAATGATTGTTCTCTCTAACAAGGTGAGAACTCAATTAGGCTCAACTCAATGTCACACTATCCCACAACCCAATTATATAATGTATGCAAATACAATAAGCTCAATGGTTGTGTGTGCAAACAAAGAGTAAATCAAATCAAACTAAACTCAATATAAAACTAGCTTTAATAGAAATGATAATCAACAAATAATTATAAATAAAAGCTAGACTTGAGTTTAGGAAAACTTCTCTAGATCAAGATGAAGAGATGGAGATTTGAGGCCCAAACAATAAGATAATCTCCTCCACTTGTGAAAGCTAAAACTGCTTTAAACTAAACCCTTAAACAAGCTTAAACAAGCTTAAACTCTTTTTAAAACCCTTGTTTAAAAACTTCTTAACTATTTTAAAACTGAGGTATAAGGGGGTATTTATAGCCTCCCAATACCTCAAACAAAAGCCCAAACCAAAAGACCAAAAACCCCTCCAACGGATACAAAAAACTAGCCGTTATGGGCATTCTGGGCGCTGGTCGGTCGACCGACCATTTTTTCGGTCGACCGCTCGCACTGTACAAACCTGAAAAAGTTCCAGAGACATTTCCGGTCGACCGGAGTTACTGTAGCAGTGTGTAGCTGTTTTGTAAAATCAATTTAAAATAGTAAATGAACTCCAAAAATTATGAAATTTTGTGGGAATGTTCTAGACATGTAGAATAACATGTCAGAGAAAGAATTTTTGAAAAATCTTTTCCCAGTTGAGAGAAATAAATATTTGAACACAAATTTACAGTTTCTGAAAAACTGTTAACATATACGATTTTGTAAAATCAATTAGGCACAGTAAATAAACTCCAAAAATAGTAAAATTTTGAGGAAAGTTTCTAAACATGTAGATAAACATGTCAAAGAAAGAATTCCTTGAATACTACTTTCCATTTATGAAAACTCATCTATTTTGTAAAACATGCACGAACATGTGCACGAACAAAAACATGATTTTGTAAATTCCATTAAACATAACAAATCAATTCCAAACTTGATGAAACTTTGCGAAATATTTGTAAACATGAAAACAAACATGTTAAAAAAACTCAAATTGAATTTCTATTTGTGAAAACTCATGTATTTTGCAAGTGTGTCCAAAGCATGAAAACTCAAAACCATGCATGTATATATATAACTATATATATACATAGAAACCAAATACGTGTGTGTATATGATGTTGAGCTTAAGGTACTTAACACACATAATATAAAATCTAAACTAGATTACCCAAGCTTGATCTTGATCTTCATTGTAGCTCAACTTGGTACACATGCGGATGAAGCTTGAACTTGATCTTTAACTTTGAATTGCAAGGCTTCACCGACATTCCGCCAACCTCCTTTGGATATCATCGTTGAAGCTCTATTAAGCGCAATCCATCCAACCTCCATACTACGTTGTTTGTCTATATTAAATAAGAAAACACAAATACTAGATAAACAATATTAGTGGTAAATTATTTGTTAAACATCATCAAAACAAGAAGGCCAACAATCTCCCCCTTTTTTATGATGACAAACAATTTACAAAAAGAGATATATGCATGAAGGAAATGAATATATAATTTATAATTCACATGCATATAAACAAAAAAGAATATACTCACAATATTTTTCCCTCTTTGACAACATCAAAAAGGGACAAAAGAATTAAGAGAGCGAAAGCTCCCCCTATTAATAAGCATAGGTGAGTATAAAAACAAACATAGAATAGGGAATAGCTCCCCCTATCAAAAAGCCATATAGAATATAAGCAATAAAAGGATCATG